TGTTGGTGGCTCCGCAACCCCCTGTAGATGTCCTTTGTTGGCCGGTCTCCATCCCGGTGCAGCTCCGGCTTCGGTATGTTCCTCGAGCTGCATCTCCTCCCGACTCCTTTGGCACGCTGGCGCGCCTGCGTCTCCGGTCCCTGCGGCCCGGATTTGCGTCCTCTCTAGATCTTGCCTCGTTCGGGTCCTCCGGCCACCTTCGCTTCCCCTATGCCATCCCACCTAATCGCCCAACCTCGCCCACCTTCATGCCCACCTCCCTCGGCCTGATCCATAGCTCTCAGGTCCAGCGATGTCGGTGCCTCCTTCGGCGGTGGACATAGCTCGCAGTTTCAACTGACGACTTGGCTTCCTCTTCTCCAAATCTTGCTCCGATGGCTTGGGATTGTTCATACTCTGGCCAACGCGAAATCCTTGCTCGACCTTTCGATGTTGGCAACGGCGACAACTACGGGTGCCGTCACCTTCTTGAGGTGCTGCCATGGCCGTCATCTGTGCCCCTCTTCGAGCAGCAGGGGAAGATCGGGCGGCGACGATGTCTCGCGTCGTTCTCCTTCATGAAGGCGTTGTCTTGTTTGTTCGCGGCGCCCTCGGTGACGGATTTAGAGATGTTTGTCGTCATGTTGGGTTAATTTGGGCTGCTTACAGGGCGGCGAGTTTAGCTGTGTTGTGTCTCTGTCTAGGTTGAGTATCCCATGTCTCTGCTCCGTGCACCATGTTTACGCCTTCTGTGTTTGTGCCATATGTCGTACGAGCGCTTGTATTCACTCTTAACTTCTTCTATCAATGCAATGATACGCAAGCTTTGCATATTCGCGAAAAAGAAAAAAGAAACTGCATACACAGTACATTCTTCTCGACGTCCACACGTCCAGTCACACTCAACATGCTGTGTGTTGTGTGTACGGCCAGTCGCTCTCATGCATTTCATCGCACGGTGGAGATCACACGGCCTTCCAAAATAAACACTGCAATTGACTGATTTAGCTTGTCAAACGCAGGGTAGCTGGGGCCTAGGCCCTACTTGTCATTGTGAGAAGGTACTTATGTTGGTACTACCTCATAACCTCAATCACATTGTCTCCACTGGGAAAAGCCGTGCTTGAAAGGTATGGATGATTCGGTGTGAAAAGCTTACCGGGGTTAGCTTGACCGACCCTGCCCTTCTTCGCCATGTATATTTGGAGGGAGAATAACGTCTGCAGAAGCAGCGCAGCAAGGAGCACAATCAAAATCGAGGCGTACTTTTGTGGGCAGAATTTCAGGTATATATTTCCCCATCTCATCTAAACATTTTTTTTGAACCGGGCATTACCCCTTTCCATTACTCATCATAACGGAAATAACAACAGTTCAACATGCCCAACAAGGAAACACATAAAGGGGAAGTGAGTTCAATACACCACTGGGAAACCCACGGTGAGCACCCGTCATCGAGCAGCTCACTATGGGGCGAAAACCCAGTGACACCTGAAACGACTCCAAAAAGCACTCTAAGAAGTTTCGGCCCTCGATACAAGCCTGATCAGATGGGCCACACCCAAAAGCTCGCGCAAGAGCATAAATCTAACCAACAACCAACCAGTTCAGAACACATCAGACACCCCACCACTAGTGCAGAACCGAGCAATAGCACAGGTTCGTAAGGCCCTTTAGTGCCGGTTCCATAACCGGCACTAAAGTGTGGACACTAAAGCCCCCCCCTCTTTAGTACCGGTTCAGCACGAACCGGTGGTAAAGGGCAACCACGTGGCACGAGCTAGCTCCGGGGGCTGGAGCCCTTTAGTACCGGTTGGTAATACCAACCGGTACTATAAGGTTTGGGGTTTTTTTAGTTTTATGATTTCTTTTTCATTTAATTTTGTGTTTCCATTTTAATTCTTTTTCGTTTGCT